ATCTGTCAGATATAGGGGTGCCTGAATACCACAAAAAAAAAACATAATGAGTTATCACTGACCGTCCACGGTCTTTACCAATAACACCTGTCAATAATAAACATGGAAAAGGTAAACATGTTACCAGACATGCTAAACAACTGATAAACCAATGCATACCTAGCGGGAGAATATAATGAAAATTTGGAAAAGACCTATTTTATACATACAAGCTTTCGTAGTGCTAGAAAAAAGTGATCAAAGTGACAAGTGCACAGGCCGAATACACACTTCACTGGCTTAAGACTTGTAGCTTGTTGATTTAACTCTACTTATTACAGCATAGCATTATATGCAAAATTCCATGCTTCTCTGTGCGCTTGCACTAACCACGTCGCTGATGTTTATTCCAACAAGAAAATAAAGATGACAAATTCTCAAGGTATCACGTGCCCTACCAGTGGGACATATCACTGTCCTCCTTTACATTTTGTTTATATCTTATAACTTGATAACCCTGTATGAAAATATTTCAGCATAGTTATCTGCTGAACTGTCATTTACAATTGTGACAGAAACCAGACAGTTGACCGTGTTTTAAGTACTACTAATGCACTTTTTAACCTTGAGGTTATCACAAAACTACAAAAAGGGCTATCTGCGCTCTGCACACGGGTATCGAAACGCGGTTTCTAGCGGTAATAGTCCGCAGACATACCGCTGTGCCACTTGGGGTAACCTTGAGGAAACGCTTAGTACCCTATACTGAATCTGGTGTTTATGAAGTATTCAGTACAGACACAAAATCAAGAAAAATAGGTCCATAAAACTACATTCGACATACACTTCTCAAATCCATCTTAAGATAAAATAAGCATTTTTATTTTTGACAATGTATTATAAAAGGTGCTAAACATGCGAAAAGTACAGTCATAGGTTAACAATGAAACCACATTTTACCATACCATACTGTACTTACAGGTTATATATATATATATATTATACATATATATATCTTTCTATTTCTTCACAGTGTTATATGGACTGATATAAAACCACTGGTATGGGTCGGTACGAAATACCAGCAAAACAGAACAATAACAAAAATGTTATACTGCTGCAAAACACCCTACTAGCACCTTTTTGGTTTCGCAAGAAAAATACGTTTGGTTTTACTGTTTCTGTAATTGTAGCGCGTGTTTTACCTCACATCTCTGTTCTTATTCTCTGGAAACACTAACCTGATCTTCTCTTCTCTCTCTTCCAAATATATGCATTTCGACAACTTTTATTCAAATTACTTTGCACAACCTCGTTACTCACTGAGTTCGTGTAATATTAATAGATGTGGCAAGAATAGCGTTGAATCTTGTCTTCAATAGTTCTATAGATATATTTAGTGTATTTTAGTTTTTTACTTGTCTCGAACTTTACTGGTGGTTTGCTTCTTTCACTATTTATTGTGAAACACGTTAAGATAAGAATATCATTGATAAAAGTTTTAATGCAAATATTCATTCATTAGTTAGCCAGGCCGCATTTTTTTGTTCAACTTGGGCATGATGGTGGGTAAAACAAAATACGCAGCCTAGCTAACTAATGAATGAATATTTGCTGTAAAGTTCTTATCAATGCTATAAGTGTAGCTACGAGTTTGGTCGCACACTCAATCTCTTTTTGACCGCACCTTTTTTTTTTTCTTCTTTCACACCTAAGGTGTTCTGATTAGATATCATTACTTTTTGTCAATGCACATCAACCAACCAAAGCAAGTAATAAAGTGACACACGATAGTAGCTTCCACGATCGCAACCCTAAAATACATGGTAGTAGTTTTCCTCTAAAACAGTGTTAATAACTTCCTTTATAGTCACACCATAGAATCTAGATTAACAGTATCTTATCATTACCTGCATGCACTCGGTACAGCCGTATTAAGCATCATTATTTACGCTAATTGCTTAAGCTAATATCATGTGACGCTAAACTTTTTTTAGTTAGAAGAATTTTATAAAGTTTAGCAAATTTGTGCTTAAAAATTGGCAATGAATGATAACCGTCCACCAGTATGATTCTTTTGAAAACTTGAGTTAGAAACTGCCAAACTAGTTTGCTTGTCCTAACCAATACTATACAGGTGCTTTCACTCCACAGTTTTGCTGCTTTAAATCAGCCGTCTTTAATCCGAATGACGAAAAACTAAAAACGGTCCTCTTTAGCTCACGTGACATCTTGCGTAGGTGTGCACAAAAAGTTTGATCAAAATTGAGCGGTTTTGTTAAATAATCTTGTACATGTGGCTTATATTTACACCAAATTTGACAGCTAATTGTAGGTTTTAAAGATGTATCAGTGTACCAAATCTAAAAAAAAATCATAAAAGTTAAGTATGTTTTTCTATCAAATAAATTTTCCGTACTTTCTGTGCCAATAATAAAAAAAAGGAAAAAATTCAATCAAATTTTCAGATTTAATATTAGATCCGGCACGGCCAGGTGGTTTGGGCGTCCGACTCCCAATCTGCGAGATCGAATCTCCATCACACCAAACATGCTCGCCCTTTCAGCCGTGGGGGCGTTATAATGTGACGATCAATCCCATTATTCGTTGGTAAAAGAGTAGCCCATGAGTTGACGGTGGGTGGTGATGACAAGCGGCCTTCCCTCTAGTCTTACACTGCTAAATTAGGAATGGCTAGCTCAGATAGCCCTCGTGTAGCTTTGCGCGAAATTCATAACAAACCAAACCAGATTCTACATCTCGTGTATTTCTTAATGGATTGCTTTGAAATTTGGTATGTGAAGTAAGGGTCTAATATACGATCATTTGGATTGTCACGATCCGATCTACAGAAAGTGGAATTTCGCTAAACTCTCACTCCTGTTAATAACACAGTGTGTTCTGCAGATTGTTTTTGCCGCACGACACACTACCGTGTGACATAATTCAAGCCGAGTCTATGAAAGTTATAACAAGGCTCAAGCTACAGCCAGGTTTGCGTAATAGATCACTTCATGCATTTACAATTGGGGCCGAATATCTACCGTTCATGCTTCGGTTTCAAGTGTATTTTTTATATAGAACAATTTCGTTTAGCTAAGCTACGCTGCAATACTAAGATCAAAATTTAACTTAGTTAAATCGTGAAATGTAATAGAATTTTACAAAGTGAATTATTACAGTAGTTGTCAACGAATTTGTTGTTGTTGTTTTTTTGTGCGAGTCAATGTATTATTCAGTTATTCAAGTGATTATATCAGACAAAAATTTCTATTAACATGCTAAGTCAATCTACGGCTTCTTAAGAAATCTAACTGACATGTTTTTAAAAGCATTAGCTGTATTACGAAAGTCTTGTTCAGATTGTGAAGTATTAGCGATCATGGGCAATTTTCTCTATGCAGTCAATAAGAATGAAAATATCTTGAATTTAGGTCATTATTTATATTCCGTTTGGAAAAGTAATACAATATGCGAAAAAAAAATCATTTTCAGAACTTAAATCTTTATTCACTCCAGAAAAAGGTCTATCTTCTGAAAGCAGTTGGACTGTCAAATATTTTGTATTATGATTGCGATTTTTATTACTACGTGATTTTTTAATATTACCACGTAATATACATACATACCTAATTAAATAAAAACATTTTAATTAAGGCTATTTTTTGCGATTACACAGAAGATTACCTACTCCCGCTATGATAGCACTTGCACATGGTTTTCTAAAATACTGAAAAATTAAAATTGTACAGAGTTAAACGTAACTTACACCACCATTCCCAGTTAGGTGAAAGCCCAAAGGCCAAGAGTGTCATCGAAAACCGAAAGGGTCTTGTTTATGTAGAACGTCTAACAGACAACCAAATTGATTTTTGTTTTTGACATGTACCTCAATATATTTAATTAAAGATTAAATAGCAGCTCATAGAATGGTTCTGAGTTTTTGTTTTGTTTTTCAAGTACAAACTTTTAGCTCTTAGCCCCGTCATCTCTTGGTCGATTTAAGATCTAATTACAGTGTTCGACTCAGGAGATCAAACCCTTTCAATTGATGTTTTGACCACGCCCAAGGTCTCATAGATTAATTTGCTCTAATCCTGCCTAAAAGAATTTCAATTTCAGGGTAGGCTGGTAGAAATCCTGAGGAGTAATAGAATCGAATAGGGTATACGCTTGGTATTGTTGGCGCACAAAAATATAGCCAATAAAACAGAAAAAAAAGTATCGTGCATTTATTCTAATCTTACCTAAACGAATTTCAAGTGCCGTGGTTATTGAGGTTCCCTCTTGTTTAAGTTATGAAAGGGTTAGAGTCATAATACATATCACATGGAAATTTTGACGTTTTACAAGATGTGAAGAATTTTTCTTGTCAATATAAATGAATAAAAACCCTATAACCCGAGTGTTTTCGAAAGGCGGGCCTTTCTTCTTCAGGAGACTCATAGTCAAGAATAGAACAAATGTGTCTACTTTTTATGTGGCTAGCACACTAAATAAATCGTTGACACATTTGACGCACTAGATATAATGTATAAATGCATGCATACCAAAGAGGTTATCCCCCTCAGCTATTTTCATAATTAGATTAACCTCCTTTGGGAAACAGTTGGCAGATTTAATGCAGTTCCAAATAAAGCAGGTACTTTACTTAATAAATCGTCTTTATCTTCTTTCACTTCAAATCTGTCTTACTACCATCAAAAGTAGTTGTCTCTTCAATGGCTGTGTAAGAAACCAGAAAGGCAAAACAGCCAATTAGATCACATGCTTTTTCTATTGTGTGTAGTTAGCAGCATTTTGTTTATTGTAAAGTCAAAAAAATGTGTCAGTATTTTCTTTTGGTCGAATTTGACTTTATCAAACTCTGCACGCATTTCCTTGAAATCTATTGTGATTGTGATACTTAGTATATACTTGTTGGACACTTACACTTTAGAATACAATCCACACATTATCAAACAAACTGCTCAAAACATTGTTGCAAATGTTGATTGGAACTTTGAAATAATAACTGTACATTTACAATAAAAACACTTTATTTAACTGTTCAAAATACATAAAGTATATCTTACAATTCGTTTGTCAACCAGAACACTGGTGTCATAACACAGGCAATTCTATAGTGGGAGAAAAGCCAATCTTAGACTCTGAGAATTGTTCTAACAAATATTATTCCTACAAGTTTGAACATGGAATAATGATACGGTAAATTATTATACTTGACATTTTGTGAAATATTCTAGCTATGTTCTTACCATTAACAGCCTCAGCAAATGAAAAACTTAAAACAAGGAACATAACCTAAGACTGATAATTTAATCTTTTTTTATATATTAGCTGCAAATACCCATTAAGGAAAGCAAAAATTGTATAAAGGACAATGTTAGGTAACATCTCACTTCCTTTTTTCTTTTGTTATTAAATCCTTAATATCCTCATTAGATGCTCATTGCATACCTTGCTTTATGGTAATAATTGATTCATTAAACTAATTAAGTACTTGTGTATTTAAATTCAAACCCAAAAGTCTATAACAAAGTGAAAATATTTCCTATTTCAAGGTGTTTTTTTATTTTCCTTCTTGGGCAAAAATCCTAAAACAAGATAGCATATGTACATCATTTGGGGGAAAAAAAATTATGTTATTGAGCCAGCCAATTCTGGGTGATGCAAGCCAAAAGTGTATCAAAAAGTGGAAATATGCCCTATTTCACAGGCTTTCATCCCCCTTTTTGGGCAAAACCCCTAAAATCAAATAGCCAATGTACACCATTGGACAGTTTCCACTTACTTTATAAAAAAAATACTGTAACTGATCCAATCAACTCTACGTGATGCAAGCCTAAAGTATATAAAGAGTGGAAATGTGCCCTATTTTGGGGCCTTTTTTTTCCCCTTTTAGGTAAAAAGTCTGAAACAAGATAGCCCATGTACACCATCAGACAATTTCCAGATACCAAAAATATGGTATTCGAGCAGCCAACTCTAGGTGACGGGCATTAACACATACATAATGGATTATCTTTACAGTAAGATATAAACAAAGATCCTACAAAAAGAAGTTAAAGCTCCATGACTACATTTGTGATTTATTACTTAACAAAAATAAGCATTAAAGACATTAATATAAGTTACATTACAAATCCAAGGTGTTATTTTTAAAATGTTATATGTCCAAAAATTAAAAATAATACATATGGTTTACAATTCCTTTGGGAAACTCTTTTAATATTATTTATCCAGTCCTTTATGAGAGGTAAAACAATTCTTTAATTTTACTATATGTGCTCTTTTAGTTCAACAAATCACTTACAATAGTCCTACTCAAGCTTGTTGAATTGCCAGAACTTTAGCAAACAATACAGTAAGCTTGCATACATGTAAAATTTAACATTTGTTACATTTAGTTCTTTAGAACTTGAAGGCCCATTACAACTTACTTATTACCTTCCTGTGTTTAGTTTATGTTAAAACTGGAACTTCTTATGTACCCAAAGTGACAAATTTTTAAGTAACATTACTCACTACACTATACATACAAATCCTGAAACTTTTCATTAGTAACAATATTTATTTTTTTTTATACATGTAAAACCCTGAATTAGATCCTTAAGTTAACAATAAAAACTAAAATACAGAAAATATATAAAAATACAGATCAGTATTTGTTGAAAATTGTAAAGAGGAAATGATCCAAAAACAACAACCAATTTCATATACAACAGTACCATTATGACATAATTACTTAAAATTATCCTGTAATAACTATTTCTTATACATTACTGGTTGACTTTAAAATTATAATCCCAAAGTCTAAGACTCTAAAGAAGTTATATTCAGAGGTTATTTACCCAATATTATTATAACACACCACAGTTACACCAGAAAGATTTTTTTCTTATACAAATGCAACAAGAATAACAGCATAAAAAACACATACATCTATTAAAATAAATCTTTCAAAGCTTGTATAATTGAAACCCTTTAAAGGACTTACCAAACATGTTTTAATAGCATTTTTTTCCAGAAATGATGAATGAATGGAAATTAGCGGTAGAACTTGTGTAATGATTAAATGTATTTCGTGCAAAAAATGCTTTAATGTGTCAATGATGATTTGTGTTAACTTCATAAGTTACTATGAACACATTAATATTACTTGTAATACTTCATAACCTATAAATTTTGCACATATTTAACGGGTAGGAAAATGATGTATATACTGTAAAATCTTTTACTTGTATTTCACAGGGCCATATATCCATATTTGTACTTAATTGCTGTACAAATTAATTTAAGTATTTATATTTACAAAATTAGATATTTAGGAGTTCTATATAATATTACTCAGCAAAATGCCATGAAAATTCCAAAATTTTCATGTTATAATTTTGTACAGCTTACACATAGATGTAAATTATCACCATTATTTAACTTGTCATTACACATGACATTTTAAATTAGGTTTTACAAACTTAAAATATGATCTTTCTCTAAACTTGTAAATATGAACCATCCTAAAAAAAATATTGCTTTCTTTAAGTTATAATCTGCTTTTTTTGTTTCACAAAAATATCAGAATTTACCTTGCTGGGGTCATGTGGTTACATCTTGTGCTTGATGATAACATTGTGTCACATTATAATTTTTTCACTGTACGGCAAGACACAAAAATAGAGAAAACAAACATCTGAAAGAACTTCCCCAGATTATTTCTAAATATTTGTTCCATTATCTGTGGATTTCACTCCCTTTTTAAATTGAAATTACATTACAAGTGGGATAAATAAATGCAGATTGAGCTTTGACCTCAATCAGTTTGAAACTTCTGTTGCATTGTATATTTCTTGTCAGCCATGAAAAGAACATGCTTAAAATAAATTCACAATAATATGCTAGTAATCATGGAACTAAATTGGAAGCATGAAATAAATAATTCCTATATATAGATCCACAGTCAAAATGTGTTAGTTACCAGTGCTATCTCACAATGTAATTTATTAATTTGCAATTATCAATTCACAGCTTTGGAATGTTTTTTTTTTTCAGTGGCATTGTGTGACACATGTCTACTGTATATACATTTTGTGAGAATGCAGACATTTTACTAATGGCACTACTATTTTTATAACCAGGTCTCACAGTTCCCCTCCCAGAAGTGGGTTCCAGTCCATGTTAAACACTAAGAATGGTTTCATGGAATGGATAACAACTCCATAATACACGCTAAAGATTACAGCTATCATACTTCAATACAAACAAAATGTGATGAGGGTTGGAAAAATATACATAATATGTAGAAAAACAGATATTATAAGCAATCACCATACAATATTACTGCTGTGATGTGAAACAGGAACTCATTGCTAACATGTAATAAATGCTCACAAGCTTCTGGGTGAATAAACAAAAATGATAAAGTGGTCCATATACATACGTGTATTTCAAAGTTGCATAAGATAGATTTTAGAAAGAGTGTTAATAGTAAAATTATCCAAGACATGGAATGTGCATTAATTGTGCTTCATATATCTATGTACATTATTAGAGCATGAATAATTATGGCTATTATTAACCCCTCAGCAGTAAGCTTTTGGGTTTACAAAGCTAAACATTAGAGTTCAATATCCATGTTGGGCACTTGACAACAAACAAGTCATTAATAAATATTAAGAATGTGCATTGTAGCCTCCACTTAACCTTCTTTTCTCTTATTAACTTAATTTTTAAGATAAAAAAAAATTGAAAATTAAAAATAGCTTAGTAAAATTTTGGCCAAATAAATATAAGAGGAATAAAAATATAAATAATGTTTAAAGAAATCAGTACAATACACGTAGCAGTACAAATAATACATTACAAACAGCTATTACAACAACATTTGTAGAGTTAACAGATATTATAATTATCATACATTACAACTGTAGGTATTTAGGCTATCAACTGCTAAATATAGACACATGTTAAATTTTTATATTTTTTGAGGAAGGAGTAATATTTCTTTCAACTAAAGAATAATTTTTACCCTAACCATAGTACTCTCTCAAACAAAAACATAAACTCAAATGGTATAACAAATCATACATTTTTGAAAATGAAGAAAAGTAACTCTCTTTCCATACAACAATTATAGATTCATAGCTTTATTAACCTGTACTAACAATTTTATCAACAATAAAGAATACATATAAAATTGAAATGAGTTGTACTTACACTAAAATTCTATTATAATATACATGTACAATTTTGCACATACTTTTCAAGCATTAACAGATAAATGTATTGCTAGTATTCCAACAGGTACCTCATAACATTGGTAAGGACAATATGAAATATTTTTAAGCATACAAGGCTGTTCCTTCATGAAGATGATGGCATATTTGTGTTCCTAACTGAAGCCTGGTTGCATACTTCAGTAGAAGAGAACATATTTTGTAAGTTTATTATTTTATGCCATAGATCTTACTGTCCAATTTTTGACGAATATTTTCAAAACAATCAACACCCATGTAATCGATTTGTCCCTTCTCCCATGCCTCCTGTCGAGAATGAAGATTTAGAGCCATTGGATGGTCTTGGAATACACTGGATTTTCTTTCTTCTGGTAACTCAAGTTTTATCTTACCAAGATCATTTGAAGGGATATCCTAACAATAAAGAACATATATATATAAATTTTTTTAACACTTTTGTGAAAAAAGTATATTCTATAAGTTCTTAATTTGTGATAGGTACGCATAACTATATGCAAGCTTGATCTATTTAACAAGTAATTAATCACACAAATTTGTATTAAAATTGATGAGTTGATTAATGTTTGCTAACCCTCCATTACAGGTATTTTAAGGCATAATGTATGTACATAACACACAAACTAGAATACTTAAGCATACTTTAAATACCAGCTACTATACAAATGCAACATTGTAGAATCATAGATGTTCATATTCTCATTCTTTGTCAATATTTTCAATCAACCGAATGAAGTTTGGTAAAATATTTCAAAAGACACCATAATATTGTGATGTATAATATTTTAAAACATAAGAGAATACTGACATAGTTGGAATAGACTTATCCAGACAGTTCATCCAAAAAAAATTTCTTAAACTTATTGCTCTATTCATATTTGTCAATTCAAATACCAGAAATAAAACAGCATTTGTTTGAAAGCATGCCACACAGCATATCACAGAAATAGCTGATAATGGTTTAGCATTAACTGAAAAAAACAGTAACTAAATTTCAATACACTGTTCACTTTAATTAGTGGCCAATAACTGCACTGTGATCTTTATTTGTAAATGTAATCTTACATTTATTTGAAACTTGTTTTAGTCAGAAACATTCCTGACAATATTCTTTTTTTATAAACTAAGTCAGTCATGCTTTGTAGTGTTTGCAGGCTATACAAAATTCAAGGTGACTGTAAATGAATTAAGTACACTTGAAAACTAAATATGTTGTACACACAGTATACTATTCAAGTATAGATATTACCACAATCTCAAACAAAAATAGCGCTTTTCAACCAAAACCATAATACATTAAGCAACAAACTTCAGAAAGATATGCATCTGTGGTTGACTTCATTCTTTGAATAAATTAAATTTTTATGTAAACAGTTCATTGAATGACTACGAGCATCCTCTTGAATCAATATACTAATGGCAAGAAATAAATGTTTTAAAAGTTTTATTGTCATCACAGCTGTTGTTCAAAATAATAAGTTTATTTGTCACATAATGAAAAATAAATCTATTTTAGTGAACTTAATGAAATTGCTTTGAAAGTACCTTGGTGTCATCTTTGAAGAGCCAAATAAATAAAAGATCATATTTTTAACGGCTATCTGTTTCAAAAGTACTGTTTTAGTACAACTGAAAGCAATAATTCCTACTGTTATAACAAGACCAAATTCTACACTATAATATTAAAGTTGCCAATTAAGTATAGCTTCATGTTTATTAAAAATATTTTTATGAATTGTCAATAGACAGTATATATAAAAATCATAAATTTAATCTCATGGTTAATTAGGTAATTGTAACAGGTATCCACTTGTGAAATTTGGCTTTGTTGTTAGATTTTCTGTTATGACAAAATCATTTTTTAAAAAGCATTTCCACTTATTAATAACTAGTTAAGTAATAGGATAATCTGTTAACAAACAATTTTTTCTATAATAAAAAGGTTACATATAGCTTTGAGTACTTGTGGTTGAACAAACATTGTAATGAAAGTTTTAAAACAATCTTAAAAAAGATATACATGTGTATGTTCAGCAACACTTTAACCTCAAAAGATAGGGCCATTAAATAAGTATTATATATTGAAAATATACATCCTGTCACACTTTTCAAAGTTTAAGTAGTACAGGAAGTTTTCTAGGAATATATAAATATTTTAAATTTCAGGAAACTTACTCTAATCAATACAAAAAAAAATTAGTTGTTTACACAGTTTTATATATGTTGAAAAAATTAGACTGTAAAACAAGTTATATTCTTTTATTAATTTTATTTAGTATATTTATACTTGACTCTTAGATGTCCATGAAGGGTTCAGGTGTAAAAAGAAATTAGTGATTTTATATAAGAAACTAGAATTTTTTCTTTACAACACACAACATTATTTTATATCATTTAAGTAACTACTGAACAAAAACAACAATATCCGTTTAATCAAGCTATTAAGATATTATTTATTAAGATTACCTGATGTGGCTGAACATGTGACAGAAATAAATCCCACCAATACTGAAGGTGATCACTATAATATTGACTCTGATGTGGTTTTACAACTTTTCCTTCACTGACTTTGTACATCCAAGGTTTCATTTCACCCAGAAAATGAACAATTTTGACCTCATTACCAAACCTGAAGAAAAAGAAAAGGTTATTGTGCTTTCTCCTAATTTTGAGTAACTTTTCAGAACTTGGTCTTTCCTTTATGATTTTCATTACTGCTGCATTGTTTCAAATCTAAAAACTGAAATACAAGTGAATAGATTTAAAGTTTACAAGTTCTGAACATATCAACAAAAGGAAAATTATTACTTTATAAACAATATTTCACACTCACTTGCATAATCATTAATACACAACCCAAGAGCTGATGAATGAATAGAAAAATGTGAAGGATATAAAATAAAGAAATTAGGTTTTTGAAGATAAATCACCTCAAAATACTATGGCTGCATTTTATTTTCTTGGCAATGTTTCGAGCAAATGCTCTTTTTCAAGCCTGAAACAAGTCAGTCATTTAATGACAAACTACTGAGAGATTTTGAGAGGAAACAATACAAGAGAACAGAACATAATGCAAGACAGAACCATGAGAATTAAACAACATCGTAATAATAATAATATAACAAAGCTGAAGAAAAGTGCTTGTGACTAAAAATAAGGTAATACAAATTATTAAAAATATAAAAGCAGACAATAAAAACAAGTTGAAAAAACATTGAAAGAAATAACTTAAACAATTTTAAAGGAAATAAATGAAGGTTATTCTAAAAATTATAAAAAGCTGAACTTTTCATTAATACCCAAAGGACTTAAACAACACACTATGAAAATGATTTCTTTTTTTGATTTGGATTCTTCAATTGGTGTTGGAGAGGGCATATTGTAGGACAAGTACTTTAAAGTGCGCAAGGGAATGATTAGCCTTGTTGAAGTACTGGGTTACAGGCTTATCTTAATCTTTAATCAAGATGCTACGTAAGTGTTCTTATGTGTGTGTTCAGCAGGCATATGGCTGGTTTTTCTCTTACAAAAATTTGGTCTTATAAATAATACAATATATTAAACATTTGGATATACAGGTGAAATGGCTATTTATACGCTGACTTAGGGTCTCTAACAGATGTTTTTTTTTTTAATTTCGCACAAAGCTACACGAGGGCTATCTACGCTAGCCGTCCCTAACTTAGCAGTGTAAGACTAGAGGGAAGGCAGATAGTCATCACCACCCACCACCAACTCTTGGGCTACTCTTTTATCAACGAATAGTGGGATTGGCCATCACATTATAATGCCACCATGGCTGAAAGGGCGAGCATGTTTGGTGTAACAGGGATTTGAACCCGCGACCCTCAGATTGTGAGTCGAGTGCCCTAACAGAGGTAATGGCAAGGATTGCACCTGCTCCTCTGACAATGGTACATATCAACTTGAATGACAAGCTACTGGGACATTTTGAGAGGAAACAATATAAGAGAACAGAAAGTAATGTGAGATAGAACCATGAAAATTAAACAACATTGGAATATTTTTCAAGCCTGATGGTTGTATGATGTGTGAAAGTTGACTATACATGAGTAAATCTTTAATGTTAGTAACTCATTTATGAGAACTTAAGAGGTTAATAAGGGAACATGTAACTGATGGTATGATCCTGTGTTATAATGTGAAAGTTGTCAAACAATAAATGTTACCTGTGTGTTGAATAGGTGAAACAAAAGTGTAAGGGGAATGTGTTTATGATCAATGGAAGTAGAACTGTGTTAGTTGAAGAGTGGTTGGATGTGTGTCATTGGAATTTTTAAATTGTCTAGGGTGTTGGTGTTATAATTACTGATATGATTCAAACTAAGTAACTTCTGAAAAGCTGAATTTGGACATTTATTATTTGTCTGGAGATTATTTTTAGTATGGTGAAGAAGAAAAGTAGGGTAACCATGTTTTTTCAAGAAATGGAACATATCAATAAATTTGGTATTAAATCTTGGTCTTCACTGCAGAACTTATGTAATCTGGTGAGTTGGGATTTGGGAATGCTTATCATGATATATTGAGGAAGACTGGAGTCAAAATGCAAGTTGTTATATGTGTACATCAATTTGTAATGCACAAATTTCGTGAGATTGTCACCACCAGTCATGGAAATATTTATTTCAAGAAATGAAATGGTTTGGTAGGAAGTAGAAGATGTATTCTGGACTGACCTCCATTAAACTTTATCCCGAGGAAAGTTTGTCCATCTAAGCATTGGTATGAATCTCACCTCGCTTGCTCCAGTCTTTATACTTTACTATATTGGTCAAAGCAAGTTAAATTTTTTTGATTCTCTCCACCTACGTCAATGTGCCCCCTATCCCAAATCTGTATATAAGTTCACCTTTATTACTTCCTATTCACTTTTTGAGTTGGTCCAATTAGCAGACCCAAAACCAAGTAATGGAGAAGAAGGGTAGGAGAATGTGAGAAGAGGTAAATATTATCAGAAATAAATTTTTGGTATAGGAAAATGTTAACTTCCAATACACACTTACCTCCACTATAGCTAGAATCCCACATTGATAAGGTGGAGGAGCTAGTGAGGGCAAGATCCACACAGAAAGCATCTGAATAGAAATGGTGTGGGAAAATGAGAAATAGTAATAGCACACCAGTGGGATCCACACTACTTATGGAACAGATATGCCACAGAGGCAAAAACACTAACATCATTAGAAGAAGATGAATTCATCCAGGCCCCAACCAGGCAGAGGAGGTCCTACGTCTCATCACTGGAATTATAAGGCTGTGATCCCAAATCTAGATCCAATCAGTAGTGGCTAGGGCATGAGGACCACTTTAAATTTTGTCTTGTTTAGTAATATGCTATTATTAGAACCCAACCTGAAAGTTACAGAATGTTGCATGTTGAGCCACCAGAATTACGAAGAGAAGGCAAACAACACAAAAGTGGACAAACCCTCACCCCAACCTGAAGAAGTGCAAAATGCAACAAACCGAACTCAGAATTATGGGACCTGTCATGCCTAACTCCATCTGAAGAAACGGAGATTACCTGGCCTGGGATTACGAACCAAAATCCTGACTCCCCAACCTGAGAGGCAAGGCAACACCTCCTTTCCCCAGAATTACAAGAAGGATGTTGAACAAACTAAGGTCCAACCAATGATACAAGAATTGATGCTCTGCATGTAGAATTATGAGGAGTTAAGGATCCTCTTCCATGATCATCGAAATGAAGAGAGTGACTAAAAATAAGGGCCATGCTCAACTTGACCGAATAGAGAAGAGTCATCTCTGAACCGGAATTATGAGGAGGCATCCAAGTAAGCTGGTCCTACTCCTACTATATCTGGGAAAAACATCCAGGGTTATTGGTAGGAGGGCACTCAACTTAGCCCTCTTCTTCTTGAGTGGAATAAGGAGTTCAAGCATCACTCAGGAGGATAAACCTTTGTCCACCACTCCATTGACTAAAAACCTGCAAATCATAAGGACTCCCATGCTCCACTAGGAGAAGTGGAGGATACTTGCTTTTCTCCAGAAACAGTGGAACAGGTGAACCACGTCTCCTATTTTGAAAAGCAAACCGATCCCAATTTATTTAAGTTAAGGGTCAGCAGAGATGGGTAAAATTCCCTTTAAATCTTTCAAAATGGGCTCAGTCAATTTGACTAACCACATGACCTTTTTGTACTCATTTAAAGTCTTTATAGTTTTGATGTTACTAACTTTAAATATAGTATGTATATCTTCACAAAATTTGGCAGACAGTAAAAATTACAAGTCTTTCATGTACAAAAAATCATATTTTTTAGTGAAGTATTTTTATTATACTAAAAAAAAGATTTGTCTGTGAATATATCAAGTATTTTTCTTACTAGTACGCATGCAAAGTGATTTTCACGTTAAGATTAACAATACTTCTCTTCATCTCAGAAATCTCAAATTTCATTTGTATAATCTCTAAAACCACCTAAATACATTTCCAATCTTTGTTTTCAGTAAAACTTTCTATTTTATCTGTTATTTTCTATACTCTAACTCTATACAAGATTGGCCAATTTGACTAACCTTGTAACCACCAAAAGAAAATTGAAATAAATCTAAATTATCCTACTTTTTTCTTTCTAGAATGACTTCAAATTGTAACCTGAAACTACATTTGTTTATCCCATGTAGCTTTAAGCTCATAACAGTATACATCTATTCAAACTTAAATTTTATTGTTTTATTGCTCTATGAACCACATCTAACTACTACCATTCATGTCACTGTAAGTTACAAACAACTTATTGAATGCGGAGCTCACATTACGCTATCAAATTACATTACCCACAAGCTACTACAAGCTGCTTGTGTGCGTGCATGCCTCATGAAACATTTTTATTGTACTATTATTTATTTTACCTAATCTAACTTTAACTAAACTAAAGAGACCCCTATTTTTACATTTTAGTTACTTTTATACTAATAAATAAAGAATAAACATGAAAAACAAGAAAAAGTATTTACCTGGGTCAATTTTTTTTTATGCGACTGTCGATGACACTTAACCCTACTTTTTTTTTTATATACTAATGGTAGTAATACACTAAATAATATTTATTTAATTAAATAATGCACCAAAGAACACAGAATAATAATATGCAAAAAACAAACAATTTTCCCTTACTATCAGAAGTTTTCTGGCTTTCCAACTATGCGACAAGAGTCGTTACAAATTTATCCAAGCTAGTCGTTATCTTTCCCACGGGAACAAAGATTGTAGTAACAGATAAAATTACAATTCTCTGTTCAGAAAACAATGTAACATGATACATCATCTGATAGATGAAAACCCTGGCTTTCCATTGGTTATACATAATATAGTATTAAGAATAAGAGAGAACTATTAACAAATCCTGAAAGAGAGTATGTGACAGGTGGGTGTAGCAAGGAATGTAGGAATCTGATTTCCTATTTGATGGCTCTGTAGCCGAACAAGATTGAAGGCCATAAAAATGATGGTGTGTCTGAGCAATGACGATTTTATAGTATAATTTGCGTTAAATTTTGTACTTAATGTAGGAGTGGTGAATAACATAGAGAAGAGGGGATGCCTATAGAAAATATGTCACATTTCTCACACTAGGGGAAATTCAGGATTTTTTTAAACTATTGCCTAATATAATTAAGAACTTAAAACTTATATACTATTAAAATATGGATTATTAACTACCATTTTATACTATACTTACTGGTTTGACATAAACAAAATGTAGTTAAATTAAATTTTGAATGTAAGTCACTAAAACTTTGTGACATTTGCAGTAAAGGATGCCCGTGCAGAAAGAGTTATGCTTTACTCGTGATAGTCCAGGAGTTGGGTTCCAGTAGTGTAGTTGTCTTTGTGTTATAATTGTTTACCACCCAGAAAGCACACAAGGTGGTCTTATGGAACATCCCATCTCAACAGAGCTTGTTGCTACCAGGAAATTTGTTATCAGTCAACTGGAAGCTAATGAAGATTTCAAAGGAAGCATACCTGACCAGGCAACACCCACCACTGAGTGGGATCTAAATTAAAATGACAAAAGGGGCCCTGAAAAAGAAGAGAAATAAACACAAAATATTACTGAAATCACTTTGAAAAAATATTACTTGGAAATTTAATTTTTGTTATTTTGTAGAATAAAGAAAATAAACAACAAACTCCAGACCCCAAGAAGACAAGTCTAAAAAAGAAAACTAAAGCCATTCATCACTGAAGAGAAACCTGCAGCAAGCATGTAAAACTGTCACCGTAAAAGTCTTCTGTCAAGAAAAGTGAATAAGAAGTAATAACAGGGAGCATATATATGAATCTGGGATAGGGGACACATTGACATAGGTGGAGAGAATCATAAGATTTAACTTGCTTTGGGCAATATAGTGGAGTATAAAGGCTGGTGCAAGGGAGACAAGATTCATACCAATGCTTATATGGGCAAAGAAGAGAAACTTTCATCGGGATAAAGCTATAGTGTAAGCAAGGTAAATGTGTATCAAATCTATTATTTTTCAATAAAGAATAACACTTTTAACATATAAAAACATTACAGTTTATATCAATAAACTTTATGAACATTTTGAGCTCTCTACATTGAATCATTTTGATGCAATAAGTTACTTATGACTAAAGAGCACAATCCAAACACTTTTCCCATGCAGTACTTTCCAGGAAAAAAAACTTTTTTTGTAAATGTTTAGATTTTTTTAATTTTTTAGAATTAGGTATGAATACTATGATTAGTAATTACTAGCACAAACAGTTGCCCATAGGGCAGCATTTTTTCTGATAGTAAAAATAATTCAAAAAGGAGAAAATAATATTTCTCCAATCCTTTTATATAACTTTCTGGAATAATATATTTTTCTTCAGATTAATAAATAAGTAAAAACAGTTTGGATTTTACAAAAATGTAAGCAATAATTAAAATTATTTCAGTTAATTATTTTAATACTGAAATAATATTTCTTAGTGGATGTAGCAATTAACCCTCAATCTAGATAAGTAAAATACCCAGATTACACACTTCATGAGATAAAACAGTGGAATCAAAAAGAATTTCCTTTTCATAAATATTTAATAGTTTGAAGCTCATATTCAGACTAAAAATGACCTTAGATTAATAAATAATTGATTCCGAAATGTATAATCAAAATGCAAATCTTGAAATTTGCATAAATATATTCAAACGTTAACAAACATCAATCACAAAATATGAAATATTTATTTTCTTTCAACTACAAGTATCATTGTCTGGACAACAAAAAAGAATCTTGATAGAGATGACCCTCACATATTCTATATATCATTAATCTTCGTTACTCCCAATTACAACCATACCAATCACCTTCTACCCTCCCCATTTATAACTACTATAATCCCCCATTCCCCAGTTATAGCTACTCTTACCCCTTCTTTCCCAATTACAGCTATGTTAATTCCCTCTACCCTAAGAAAGTTTTACTTTCAGGTAGTGGGTTACTGGAGAAAAATAAACCAAGTTTTCATCTTGAAAATGTTTTAAATTTCAATAACTTCTGAAAAGTTTTATAAAACTTAGGAACAAGATTTCAGCTGTAGTGTAAATAAAAAAACAAACAATGTAGGATGTACATTTCTGATAGTTAAAAACACATAGACAAAATAAAGCCTTAACATTTTTTTAATGTAGAGAATAAATTACAATTTTAATGTGTTTTTTAACAACATATTCCAATGTTAAATTTAACCTACAATACAGTGATAAATTCTGCCCATAGCAACTGTTGATAGATGATTTTTCTACTGATGAGTTTAATTTGTTTCTCAAAAAACACAACAACAAAATTCTCATTCATATTTCTGTTACTCACATGTATGTGTCTGATAATTTATTCATTTATTATGGAAAATAATATTTAAGTTGTTGCTTGCTAGATCTTTCATAGCCTTAACTTAATTGAGGATAACATTAATAATAGGTAATCTCATCTAATACTTTAAAAATAGGGCAATAACATTGAAATAAATAATTTTCGACTTTGCAATGAATTATGGAGAACAAAGTATACTTCTCATCATCATATCTTACTTTATGAAAAAAAGATCTATTTTTAAAATAATGATAGAAATATATGCACAAACACATACCGTTTAAATGCAGGTAGGTAGGTATAACATGCATTAGAGTTCATGTTGTAGAGGAAAGACAGATGACGAGAAATATCTTTTGTGGCCCAGTCTTGGAAGAAAAGATTCAACAGCCCTTGGTCACCACCTAAAATGAATGTTAACATTTTCAGGAATGTTTACACAAATAGATATTATTACGCGTGTTAAATCTGTATTTGATAATAAACAATAAATCAACAATCTAAACCACAGAAGCATAAATTAACCCTTTTTGGGCCATGGAAGTGTCACTAACATCTCTCGAGCTTCCTTTCTTATAGTGCAAATATTTAACCAAATTTCATGAAACTTGGAACAAACTTACTAGACAATTATCTAGTTTTGGATTTAAAAACTTCATATAATTTGATTTATTTTTTCTATAATTTTTTATGTTATCAAATTTTCAGAATTTTGTTGAGACACTGCTTGGAAGAAACACTAAAAATACTTTATTCCATTTTACAATTTCATTATTTTAGTGTTGATCAGAAGTTTCATTTTATATATCCAATCACTTTCAATTTCACTGATATCCAATAAAATATCTATTTTGATAATTTATCTTGCTCACTGCAGTAGTCACCAATTCTGACTCTAAATCATAAAAGCATGCCAAAAAATCTGACTTGGCAAAAAGGTAACAGGTCAGGCTAGGTAACAATGATTTTGGTAACAATATTCTTGGTTAAAATCAATATGTAGTTAATAAACATAATTTATTTTCAATAAATTATAATGTGTTTATATCTGTAGATTGTTTGAATATGACAAATTCAACAATAATATTCAATAAATAAGTATTCAAATTACACTTCAGCTTCTAGAGTATTTTGCTATTGACTACCGTACTTTTTAAACTTAATAAAGCTTACCTGATATCTCGTCGTAGAAGAAAATTTCATTAGCTTTAAAACAAATATAATTTAAGATAAAAAACATTTTCAGTAATGAAAAGAACATCTAAGGACACAATACAAAAACTCTAAGACCCATGATTTGTTCCTATGTTTTCTAAACTTCAAACTAGATTTCATTATTCTCTGTTGTGCAAGTTAGGTTTTATCTCTTTCCCACAATAAATTACTTCTCATACTTTATTCACTCTAAATTGACACAAATAGTTTATAACCTGCATTTAACCTTTGTCATTAGCTATTTTAAAAACACAACTGTATTAGTAATTGTTTTGACCACATAGCATAAGGTACTAAAAGGGTGGAAATGTAGGCAGTCATAATAATATCAGAGAATACAAAAGAAAATCATGCAAGAAAGAATATGCTGGGAACCGTATTATCAAGGATTGACAGTTTTCTTAGAATATATAAGCCTATGATTTGGGATAGACAAGAATAATTCTAAAAATCAAAAAGTTCTTTGTTTACAGGTGAGGCTCTTTAGAGCTGTGCAAAAATGTAAGTTTGAACTTTTATTTCATTTTTCTTTTTGAATTACAGTATATAAGCATTATAAAATGACAACTTGTCAATTCTAAAATATTTTTAAGAAAACTCTTTTGAAATAATTAGAATTGTCATTTTTACTTGTATTTTCTAAATGGATAATGCAGATGTTTGTTTGGCATATAAAGGTGCTTGCTTGTCTAGAAAGGGTTTATCCACATTAAAATAGATTACGTTCAACAACAAAAATTATAGTCACGTATATACTTGAATTATCTTGTTGTTCAGAGGAAAATAAAAGAACAAACACGCATAAAGTTATAAAATTACTAAAATTCAAAGATTATTTCTGAATAGAAGTTATTTTTTATATCAACAGAATAATCTGCTGATCTGAAAAACAGAAAATCGAATCACTGTCCATTTGTTCCACTGTCACTTAGGATTACTTATGTGACACAAAATTGCTGTCACCTATGTAATATCTAATTAATGCTATTAGATACTTTATTTTACCACTGTGTTAAGATCTACATTAAAGAAAAAGTTTAGGAAAAATTCAAATGAAGATTGTTAGGTGTCAGTAATAACATAACCACTTTCACCTGTATTTCCAGGTAGAAATTTTGTGCACTTGTGTTACCACTTACAAACAAAATATATATACAGTATTTACCATCAAAACTTCCTTTCTCCTTAGCACACTTTACTAATGCCTTATACGTTTCATCTGATGGTTTAAAGACAAAAACACCAGAGTTAAAACAATCTGGCCAGCCAATATCAGGAGCAGCTGAAAGTTCTTCTCTGTTAAAAAGTTCATCACAATTTCTTAGTACCTATAAATATATCAGACAGCTCAGTCCTCATATTTTTAAGTGTAACTTGAAAGTACATTAAAATCACAGTTGATGAAAGAATATATGTTTTAAGCATACTCTATTCAGATATATGGAAAACTAAGTGTTATATTGTTAAAGTTAAATATGGATTAACAGTATTTACACATATATTATTGGGTGTTATATCATTGCAGTTGAATATTAACAGTATTTAGACAGACTCAAATTATTTCAGCAACTTCCTCCTATCCTTAGACAGTAACCACGGACTCAGAAGAAGCTGAAGCTTTTCCAGCATGATTCAAAAAATGCTAGTATTTTCCCAACCCAAGTCAGCATGTTGATACTTCCTGAGCCCAAGTAAGTAGATATTGAAATTTTTCCAGCATAAAACTGGTAACTTCTGACAATTTTCCTTTCCAGCATGAGTTAGTATACGATGATCACTTTCTAGCCCAAAGGTAAATAAAAAGGACTGAAATGTAGTCTACACTGAAAGTTAAATACTATAAGTAGCCTGACTAAAAGTATAGTACCAGAAGGAAAATTTCTGTTTTCTGACATAGCAATAACAAAAGGTATGATTTTTGTTAGGTACTCACGACTGTTTAAGTTTAATGCAAGTATTATGATTTAGATGGTTTAAGTATAAGGCGAGTGTTAAATTTAGTTATTTTTAGAAGTGATAATTTACTGCAGGTTTGTTTACATAACTGTGTGCTTTTTGTATTATTGCTTCATGTTACTAGAACATTCAAAGTTTTTCTCATTGTTTTAATTGAGTATTATAGCACCATAATATCTTGTAGTGTGTAGAATGTTTTAGGCCTCTGTCAGGCTATTAATGTGTGTCCAAAATGTAGTTGGAGTTAGTTAGTTAGAGGGTTGGATAGATCTAGACTGTGTGATTGTGAGTTCAGAAATAAAGAGCATATAGTGGCAATTTTTAAAGTGAAATTATCACAGACTGTATTGTAATAACAAAGTAGAGAAGAATAATTTATCTTGTCAAATTGTGTTTTAAAGTAACTGAACTAGCCTCTGTGGAATTAGACGAAAAAGAGAATTATTTAAAGCTCTGTTTACAACAGTGTATTGAACATCTGTATGTACATTTGAATTGTTTTAATATATTATTTTAAAACAAGTGGACTGTGTGCTGTTTGTTTATTGTTGCAATTTATCATCAACAAGTCACAAGCATCTACTGTAAAGAATCTGGCCCATACTTAAAACCTGATAATTTTATACCATTCATCTGTCATAAAGTAGAACAAAGCAACTAAGAAATAAGAAGATTTACCATTATTATAAAGTAAGAAAAAAAAAGGTATGTAATTATGTTAAAACAAGTGAAGCCAAAAATAAGATTCTGATAGTATTGTTTGAAGGACTTTTCTACAAAGCATTTAAAACTTCAAGGATTTACTTGGGGTTTCCTTACTTATGGAAAGTTCAAGCATAATAATCATTGTCACTATCTTGTAAATAAAGGTGAGAATACTTAGTAGTGTGACTAACAACAACATCCAGAAAGGATGTTACATTCAATAACAAGAATAACCAGAATGAACTAGTAGCAACTAGTCCTACTATAATAAAGAAAGAATGCATTATTTCAAAGAACAAAAGAATCAATAACTATAGAAAAAAAAATCCCTACAATAAATATCTTATGATACTCTTTACTGTCTCTATTTTATTATACATGAAATATGGAAAATTTTCAATCTAAACCATGTCTTGAACTGTTAAAACTTACTAAAGTATCAGCATCTAAGAAGACACATTTCTGGAACTGAATAAGTTTCCAACACTGTAGTTTAGTTAATGTGACTCCTAGCTCTGGTCGAGTCAAAATGGTTAAATTGGCTTCATCCTGACTATTAATTTCACCAACTTCCTGAACCAGGTCAAAGACAGAAGCTAACTGTGACCTGAAAAATGCAAATAATTTCCGTATTAAAAACACAAAATGCAAAAGATAAATCACAAGGTTAGTTTAAACCAATGCTTTCTTAAGTTGATAAATCAGAATAACAAATTATTCAATGCTTGAATATTATTATATTCAGCATCTGCAGTCTACTGCTATAAATGCTAGCTAATCCTAAAAAATACTAGAATGGTTCTCGTGTGCTTAAAATACATGTGACTCTGATCTTTGACTTCCTTCAAAATATTTTTCTAATTTTCATAAGGTATTTCCAGACTCATAATTTTACTAGCTTCTTTCAACCAATAAAGATTCCAGAAATTTTCCAGGTTAATGAGAACTAAAAGAAAGAGAAAGGTTTTAATTTAAATCCAGTTTTAGCTATGTATATAACACTAGAGTAATTTTAAATAATGTTTCTAGTTGTTGGCTAAATCGATAAACTTAGTACCTCAGTTTAACTACAAACTTCCTTCTAAAACATTTACTAATAGAATTTTTTGCTTCAAATTATAGGCATTTAAAAAAATCATTACAATGTTCATGGATATAGTTAGATTGAACATGTTTCTTGTAAATTCATTGTGATACCATTGTAAGAATATAACAAGATTTAATCCAAAACTTACATCCAGTCTATGTTATTGATAATTTACATGCTATGTTGCTAGACTGACAAATTTTATCAATTTATATTAATGCTGTAATTCACCTTATCTTTAGTGCAAAGCATGACAATCTTTTTGGGATAAGACCTCATGAAAATTTCAAGGACAGTAGACTTGACTGACCCAATAAAGTTTAAAGCAAGGAAAGAATACCGAAAGAATTTTCACTAAAACTTCTAACACTCAATTAATTTTTTGAAAAAATACAAAACTTTTATTGATCTAAAAGTGTGGTAAGGTCATCATATCAATGACTAAGGGGGTCTACAAAACTTAACCTTCTTATTAGAGATAATAAAATGAATCCTTTTGTAAACTTAAGTGCAGCCCAATAAGAGTACTAGAAACAGGATTTAAGATGTAACTTGAATGCAAACATTTTAAGAATTTGGACCAACATCTTTCACCAATCAGAAGAACTGTTGCCAGTTATAGGGTTTTTATCACTTTATACCTTGGTGAATTATGGTATACCTGCTTCTTTATAGTCCTTGTGCTGGGATGTTATGCTTCAGGCTTAAAATTATGTTTTCTTATATTTGCAAATGTATATATTTATCCATGTTAATTATAATTATAAGAGTGCAGTTTCAGTTACCTTTTTTTTCTGGGTATCTCTGAATAACTATTAAAGAATAATTCTGGCTTAACACACACTGTTCAACTCGGAAAATGTTGAGAGAAACTAGAATACCCGAACAATGGGTAGAACAGTAAAACAGTTTTTATATCCCAGTGAATGTTATGAATAACTGAGGCATATTTAACAGTGAATAATATATTATGGGGAAGGAAAAGTGAGTAAAAATCTCATAAGATTGCAAGAAATGTGTGCCACCAAGTCAGCAAGCATAATTTAAACAACATTAAAACCAGAAATTAACCGTTAATTAGTATCCTTATCATTGCTTTATCAGTCAATCCAGCAGTCCAGTTAGGGTTGATGCATCCAAAAATCTCTCAACTACTATACAGCATAATAATTGAAAGTAAATTATTAACAAAGGTTTAACATAATAACATTAACTACATGATAGGGTATGGATAATTTCTAGTTATATATAGTGGACAGTAATATTAACAACACCCCTTTGAAATCTTTCAGGTTACCACAATGTCACATGACTCACACATCTTGTATTCTATCTTACTATTTAAAATTCTATTTCATGGATCCAAGTAGAATACAAGCATATATTTCTGTGCTAAAAGACATTCACAAATTTAAGTATGATAAACATTTCAGTAGTTTTTATTAAACACTATTTATTTTCTAAAAGTGTATATGTATTACAATATCCAAAAGATATGAACAGTTCAACATTATCTTTATTAAATGTTGTCTGTAAGAGTTTCTTGAAAACATTTTATTTTATACTATACTGTAGAATTACTTCTCCAAACAACACTACAGGCAACTACTTAAACACATTTACAAGCATCCCAATAGATAGCTAAGAAAAATACATGGTTACTTTTTGGGACTTACAAGCTTAAATGTATTTTAAAGAGAAAAAGGGCTGAACAACCAGGAAACTGGGCAAAAGTTTAACTACTAAAGGATGTGTTCAGTACACAGTTTATGCTTTATTGATGTTTATTACCTGTATAATTAACTGTAAGAGAAGTTTACAAACATTTGAAGTAGGTGTTTGACAACTTGTCAGAATTCATTATGCCATTTTCATCACCCATGTTTCTTTTATTTCCTTGACAACTTTTTAGATTTAACAATGACAAATTCCACAATTTTGGCACTCAGGTTATTTTGCAGATTATTTTTACTTTCCATAAAAAGCTTCATGTGTGTGTATGTATGTCAGGGAAAGAAGTAACGAAATAAAACTACACTCACTCGAGGGAAAGCTATCAGGAAGATTACATTCCCTCATTAATTGTTTTTTATTGAATCCATGCAATTTGTTCACTTTCATTGGTCATAACTAAAGGAATATGGATGGACTATACATTCCTCATTGGGAAAGCTAACTAAAGAAATGAAATTCTTCAAGCAAAGTTCAATTCCTCATGAATGCAGAAATGTAATGTTTCGATCTCTGTATATATGAATGTGTGTGTGTGTGAGTGTATACAAACACATATACAAATTTTAGTTACAACCAAAAAAATTAGGAAAAATTGGAAAAGAAGGCAGTGTTGGAAAGCCTGCCTTTTAACACCATCACTTGAAATAACAATGAATATCTACATTAATGTTCGGGAATATCAAAGATATATTAAGTTTCAAATTCACCTCATATCTGCAGTGACACCAGCTGTGACTAGGATAACCAGACTTCGTGAAGTTTGGACAATGCGCAAAGAGTGACCAAGGACAAGAGCTCCAAGACTGTAGCTGTCATCAGTGGCTAGGGTAACAAAAGCTTCATCTGCCACTACAAACATGAATATAAAAGTAACTTTCAATGTTATTCCACTCAAAAACTATGAGATTGTACACAGCCGGGGTAACAATGACTATTCTCTATTAAAATTAGTCAGTAAAAGTTTGACTTTTTTAACTTAAATATTTGATGAAAATATCTAGATCATCTAAAAGTATGTTTAAAAATACCTTGCACTGTTTTTTTGTTCAAATTTTGAAATCATGTCACATGTGAAATATCTCCCTGCAATCCTATATACATACATATATATATATATATATACATATACACATGGTTTGTCTGAGCTTGAATACATACTTCTTGAAAAAACAAAAAATACCTTATCAGATTCTTTAAAAAGATAATAATTACTTACTAATACTGTGCAGAAGTGAAAAGACAGACTTAGCACTAATAAAATATATGTGACAGTGAAATAAAATTCTTTTTAACACTAACAACAGAAGTAAAACTAATAAATTTAAATTTAATCACACTGGAAGAAAAACATTATTCTTCATGGATGACCCTTTTATAACTCAGATATCTTATTACAGATTTCATTTGTATCTTTTCTTATTACACTAGACAACCTGTACGTGTGTGTGTGACGTTTTCGCAATAAATGTATGAATCATAAGTTTTTTGACAACCATAAGGTTCTCCATAGATTTTGTCAACATCACTAACTGGAAGTCAAACAAGAAAGTTTTCTTAACCTGACAACTAGAATATATCAACCCAAGTTTATTTTTTGTCAAAGGATATTGGTATGACACCTTTAGACATAAACTAATTCATTTAAGTTAAAAACACTTCTGAGAATTAAAATGATCAAACCTTCATGATTGAATGTTACCTCAACTTCATACACAGCAAGTGAATCATAAAATAAATACAGCAGAAAAAATATAATGTCACATCTAGATCAGATAGTTAATGAGTGAAAATTTTTAAAGTTCACATGTTAAATTAGGAAACGAATAGAATAGCTAGTTTTTATAGATAATAAATTTATATTTAACAATGAAAGGGAATTGTTAAGAAACTTCCTACAACAATTAATGTTATTAAAAGGGAAACTGTAGAAGTATCGATATATATTAATTACATATTCATAGTATATGCAGACATATAGACCAAGAATGTGATGGGACTGAAGATGAAAGAGGCTTTGAAATCACGTGGTTCTAACTATGAAGGCATAAAAATCAAGGAAACCTTAACTGTCAAGAAACTAGAACCAAAGTTGAATATTCACATTGCCAAAACCTTTTAAAATGTTTAGTAAATACATCAAAATCTTAATAAATTATCATTTTCATGTGAAACAATTAAGCTCTCAGCACGACACCCATCAAAAATGAGAAACTACGTTATATACTCACGTGCATACTTTGCCTCAATACCATCCCTTTGAAAAGAGGTGACATCGTTTCTTTGACAGCCCAAAAATCGCCAAACAGAACAAAAGACAGTATCTACTAGATTTAACCCTATATTCAATAACATTTTCACTTTTAAGCTCACGCTTGAAAACTAACGTTCACTTCTTCACAAATAAAACTTATCCTGTACTGTAGAGTAGCTAGATCAAAGACGCATTACACGACATAAAATCCGCAAAGTCAAGGTCACTTTAACAAAGATATGGTATCGAATAAGGGGTGTCGTAATATCTTTTATGCCATGTTACCTCTTCCCTGCCCAAAAATAGAAAGTTTTTTGATTGATTAAATCGTTGTTAAACAACCGACAAAGGTTCAACGGATCAGCTGCTTCTATTTCATATTTTCAAAACAAGAGTAGGTGTTTGTGGATGTGAATACAACGCGTTTTCCACGATGTCTTCCCGAAATCAATACATGTAAATACAATCCACGATGCGGTGCGCAATGAGAACTTAGCGTAAACTTTGCTTTCAAATATAAAACTATAAAAAATCGTGGTGGAATTACATTACATGTAAGGTTTTTACTAAGTATAATTGTTAAACTCTTTACAGCTTTCACACCTTATTTCTGTTTTTACTAGATTTATAATACAAATAACATAGCGAATCAGTCTTTACATTCCATCCGCAGGTATACGGGTTATCACGACATTGTATTTCTAGTCTAAAAAAGGTAAGATAGTTGTTTAGTAACCTAGAGAATCAGCAAATTTTATAAATACTCTATTATAATTTAGTTTATTCATCTAATATTTATACGTTTAGGAAACAAACTGATGAATATGTAAAAATACAACTCTTCCAAAAAACAGCCTAACAAAAGCTACTTATGTACTTACAATTACATTTAAAAAGTGTGAAATAATCGTAGTATTTGGCCTAATTTTAATGTAAAACATCCGCAAAGTAACGAATATAGTAATTCATATTCATATTTTATATATATGATGACCTTCAAAACTGATATTCAGGCCATCATCATATAGATTTCCTTTTAATAAGAATGCTATGCTATGATGGACACCAACATCAATTTAAATATCCCAAAGAG